AAGCGTCCCTTTGAACTCCTCGAGTCATCCAATACCATGTGCATCGATCCCTCAAGGTCCAAGTATCGTCGAAACGATTGCGCGCAAGTTCATAACCTCAGCGGAATGCGACGTGCAATCATCGACGGCGTTTGTGGAATCCGGCGGATAAGTAACAACAAGTGGCGTCTGTCGCGCAATTGATCGAGACGCGCGCAAACGATGCCGCACGAAATCGGCAACGATGAGCCGACGATCCCCAACGTTGTCCCGTCGACGGGGACCAAGCCCCATCCAGCCGATTGTCCCGATCGGCTCGGCTACATGCCGAGCAGCTACGACTGCTCCAACTTGCGCTTCGTCGATGCGGCGCGCGATCGAGAACCCCGATCTCCCAAAAGTAAGTGGATGAGCCTTTTTTTTTTTTTTTTTTTTTTTTCATCGTGCGTGTCTTTATACGAATCATCAAAATCTCACCGTGTGACTTTTTTGTACTTATATCTGGAAGTGTACGTGTACAACAATGGAGCGTGGATGGGTGTGGCCAGAAGCTGTGTACATTCGTGTGTAAAATATAACGAATTTGCGATTTATGACGTGAGATCGATGAGTACCTTAACGATAATAATAATAATAATAATAGTTACGTGATGATACAGTACGTGTGTGCCGATCTTTTTTTTTTCCTTCGCACAGTGTTTTGAGATTTAGAGAGTTGGCGCGAATCTTCGTAGTCAAAAAACAAATGAGACAATTACGATGGATGTAATAGGAAAACAAAACAAAAAATTAACGTAAGTCATGTAGTTGTGCGAAAACGTGGACTTTTGTCTACTGGGAATCAAAAGTTTTCTACATGTGTACGTACTTTTTTTTTTTTTTTTTTTACAGGTTTTTTGTTACTGTTATCGTGAAAAAAAAAAACAGAGTAGTTTACATTGTAAACTTCTTTGAGTAATTGTGTACTGCGCTTACAATCGTACTTTGATTATGTGTATATTGTCATTAGCATCTTAGGGTGAATCGAGGGTATAATTCATATTTAGGTCAATTTTTACTTGCAGCCAAAAATTAATAGACTGTGTTTTCGATCGATTTTCGATCACTTGATGAAAAAAAAATTTGGCCTTTGCGTTAACGCATTACTCGATACAGTTTCGAGACTTTTTTTGTCTTTATTATCACGATGAATGATTAATCGAAGTTTCGGAACGACCCAAAATACGAATTTCTCATCGCCGATTTATGGGTGAAAAAAAAAAAAAAACTTTTTTACAAATATACAAATTTTGAGAGAAAAAAAAATAATAATAATAATGATAAAAAAAATGTAGTCATAACTTATTAGGTAAGAAATCGGTGCTATAGATCACCAAGTCAAAAAAGCAAGTGTATGATGTACAAAGGTATACATGTACCGATTTTTTGATATCCGTTTTTTCAGAGGGTGTAACGCTATAAGAACGAAAAGTCATTTGTTTTTACCGCCGATCTCTTTCCCTCTTCGATCGTGGCCCATACGTTTTTATACTCTATCATGTAGCGTTTAAGTTTTCTTGTCTCCTTCGCGCACAAAGTGCACCTGGAGAAGGTTTATACATGTAGATATATAAAAAAAAAGAACTTTGTGCCAAAAGAAATGAATAAAATGCAATATCATGATAAATCCAAGACCTCGTATTATATATACGACTGCCCTCTTTTTGCGTACAAGTATATATAACGTAGTACATAACTATAATATGAAACATCGAAAAGACACACTCTCGATGTGATCGAGCAAAGGGCCGATTGAGCTTGAATATATACATAAGTACATTATATAGGTATAATGTGTATTGTACATGCGAGATATATACATATTATGTAATGTATTGCAATTCATATATATAAATATGTATATCCATATGAAAATGGCACGACCCGTCGAAGGACGACACAAAGAATAATTGTAAGAACTGATTCGTACGAATTTATATTATTGAGCGATAAATTTTTTTTCTTTGTCGACACTTTTGTATTCTAGTATATAAAAAAGAAAAAAAAAAAAAAAAAAAAAAAAAAAATAAATCTGGTGCGATGAGCATCAGTGATTGCCATAAAACAATCTCTCGTTCGTCTATTTTTTTGTTTTATTCCTTACCCTCGACACTCCCGTCTCTACACGCATATAGGTATACTTGGAAAAAGCGATCCGGTCGATCAGCAAAGTAACGCGTCATTCATTTGTTTTCGCTCAAACTGTCAACAACATTGCCGTGGTATACGTGAGTATATGATCAACTAAATGAGCGCCGATCTCCGCTCTATATCGTGAAGTTCCATACAGTTGGAAGCGTCCCTTTGAACTCCTCGAGTCATCCAATACCATGTGCATCGATCCCTCAAGGTCCAAGTATCGTCGAAACGATTGCGCGCAAGTTCATAACCTCAGCGGAATGCGACGTGCAATCATCGACGGCGTTTGTGGAATCCGGCGGATAAGTAACAACAAGTGGCGTCTTTTTTTTTTTTTTAAGAAAAAACGAGAAATGAATGCCACCCAACAAGTATTACGGATACACATAATAATAATTATCCATCGTTCGATTAAAATCCGAGGGTTTGCTCGACCGGGGAAGATCCTGCGGTCGGTGTCTTCGAGCCACCTTCGGACTTGGATTAATTTACTTATCTGCATACACCCCGTAAACACGCACACCCATCAACACAAGTAATATTATGCGCGCGCTACCAATCAAAACGAACAATGTAGTGATCAATAATATATTAATAACGATAATTGCACTTACGCCGTTGCGGATACGTAAAATCGAGAGTGCACGTGTAGAGTCCCGTGGGAGTGGGTGCGCGAAACTAACGAGTTGAAGATTATAACGGCAATGAAGGGAAAGGAAAAAAAAAAAAAAAAAAATGATATAAGCCGAGTTGACGCGCGGGCGATGCTTTCCAATCGAATCGGATCTCCCCGGTTCCCAATGGAGTGTTTCAACGCACGAGTTATAAATGTCGGGCTAAATAATGTATACGGAGAGTCAGGAGACGCGCGCGCGCGGAGTTTGCAAAATTGGCATTTTATTTTTACAAATCCCATGTACCACGGGCGTGCCGATCAAGTTTGATTCGGCTCTCTTCTCGGCATCCCCCTCCCCGTGGAAATGTGACGCCCAACCACCCAAACGAATCTCAATTTCGCAGTCTCACGCGCTCGCTTCATACTTATCACGTTTTTCGATTTCCGTTACTTCCACTTGACGAGATCGCACCCTCGCGTGTATTCGTGTGGGGATCGTTAGCGCGCCCCTCCAATGGAGAGAAGAAAACGCACACCATATTTATACATAATACCTATACACACGGACGGTGACTGGTATCCATGTATACGTATATGTTTAGTTAGTATAGGGATAGATAGATAGATAGATCCACTGAATGCAGCACTTGGCTCGAGTGGGGTATCGCGAATTAAAAATGAATCGCATACTCTTTCATGGGGGGCGGGGGAAGTTTTTTTTTTTTTTCAACGTTNCGAGTCATCCAATACCATGTGCATCGATCCCTCAAGGTCCAAGTATCGTCGAAACGATTGCGCGCAAGTTCATAACCTCAGCGGAATGCGACGTGCAATCATCGACGGCGTTTGTGGAATCCGGCGGATAAGTAACAACAAGTGGCGTCTGTCGCGCAATTGATCGAGACGCGCGCAAACGATGCCGCACGAAATCGGCAACGATGAGCCGACGATCCCCAACGTTGTCCCGTCGACGGGGACCAAGCCCCATCCAGCCGATTGTCCCGATCGGCTCGGCTACATGCCGAGCAGCTACGACTGCTCCAACTTGCGCTTCGTCGATGCGGCGCGCGATCGAGAACCCCGATCTCCCAAAAGTAAGTGGATGAGCCTTTTTTTTTTTTTTTTTGTTATTTAATATTTATTTTCTACCTTCTCACACCGATCTCGAGAAATCGGTACATCCACGCACACATTTATCATTGCCATTGGGTATACATTGTGGCAAATGACATGAATACAGAGTGTTTAGGTTTACTCTGTGTGGTATATATAAGTTGGGAGATCGGTATTGAACGCGATAATGAGTCGCCAGCTCGGGATGATGAGCTTCTCTTCAAAAGAATCGTCTTGAACTCGCAGGGAAGGGGCGCGCTAATCGTTTGTAATTAAGGTCGTCGATTGATAAGTAGCCGCAAGTGCGAGGGCAAAGAGAAGAAAGAGGAAAAGAGGGAGCAGCAGCAGTAGAGGAATAATTGGCCAATTTTTTTTTTTTTTTTTTTTTTTTTCCTCACCATACCGATAAAAAAAAAAGTGTCGATTATTTCATACGACAAAGCAGCTACAACCGGCCGCGAAACGAATTCAAGATCGTACAACCGTAACAGTGTAATCGCTATTACGGATACTTACCGCTACTCTATACGGGTAAATTCATTCATGTCTCATCATTCCTATACATGGATGTGGCTGATAGAACAGCTAAATATACCTATACGTGTATTACAGAGGCGCGCACGTACGTGATCCATTATACGAGCGAAATAGAAGCCATTACATCGGCATATCACGCATAGGCCACCGCGTCTACCTTCAAAATGTATTATCAATCAAATGATTGCCAGTGTTGTGGGGGGTAGGGTATAGGTATAGGTACAATTGGCGTGTTTTTCTACTCTCTTGGGATCAGGGCTACGGTATACACACACTTGATTCGTATACACCATCACCTGCCACTCTATAATGTTGTTATATATACACATATATCTGCAGTATATAGGTACAGAGCGTGTATAGTTGGATATCTTGTAGTCTAGTGCAGCGCGCGCGTAACGTTGTTCGGTGTGGGCACAATCGCGCCTCCGAGAGTCCTTGACAAGTAAATCTAATCTGCCGAGCCCTCCCTCCTTTTTTTTTTTTTCTGCTCAACTCGCGCAGATCGGCACGACAATCACGTCGACGAGAGAGAGAGAAAAGCTCGCTTACAATAGATTAATTGCCAGATCTCTGTGTGCTCCTCCCTCCCGTATACCGTTGATGCCGATTTTCTCCTCCTCCTCCTCCTTCCTATATACGCGCCTCTCTGCCTCCATCTCCCGCGCGTGGATCGTCCAGATTGACATTCAGACCTGTCCTAGATATTGTAACGGTCGGCGCTTAACACCCGCTCCCAAAGGGGACGATCTCTTGCCTAGTTTTTTTTTTTTGTTTCCTTTCCTTTCCTTTGGCCAAACTTTCTTTCAACAAATTGTGCGCAAGTTCGCCGGGATTGCCGATTTATTTCCATCTGTACGTATATATTATATGTACATATAGGTGTCTGGGCCAGTGCCGGTGTTGCAAGCAAAAGGTGCGCGAGTGAGTAGACGCGTGTCCGAGAGGGGAGTCGTTACGGAGGAAAAGGTATATTTTTACAACACGAGCCGCGAGCCGTGACTTTGATGGGTTTTTGCGCTTAACCCCTTTTGCACTTGCTTTTATTGTCACATCTAAAATCACCCACGCCCAGAATTTTCAAGGGGGAGCATCGAAATCGGTATGCATCGGGTGTAGAGCTCGACAGTAGAAATGAAAAAAAAAAAAAAAAAACCCTCGAGGAGCCCGCGCGGTCCTCAAGTGTCATCCAATAGAGAGTAGAGGCGCGCAAATGATCCCCGTGTATTATATATGCGCACTTGCGTACAGGGCGTGAAAAAAAAGACGCGTTCGCCAAAAATCCAACTGACGGGGGATTATATAAAATATACGATTCACGAAAAACCGTGTGTATATGTACATGGCTCGGGTGTAATGCGCAGGAAGGATGAGGATCGGCAGAAGGAGAAGCAGCCTCGGGGAGAGCCAGATAAGCGACGACGAGGAGTGCCAAGGGGGTGGAATCTGCCCGTCCTGCCGGCTGGCCGTTAACAAGGACACGGGCAGGCTCAAGTACGTATACGCATATACCATTGCTCTCGATCCTCCTCCTTCACTTCACCCCCTTTTTTTTCCAACTCGACTCTCGTCACACACGCTCCACTTTGGATTCTCGTGTGCCCATCACCTATGTATCCATCAGATGATAAAGGTATATGTACTATATAACCATCTCTCACGTCGTGTACATTTGAGGCCCGGCGCACGATCAAAGACCGGGGTTTCCCGCTACATATAGGTATATTGCGTGTGAAAGAGCGCCGCTTGCATCCCTTCGCGCCCGATGGTATAAAAGCACGCACATGTACATATATATATACAATATATATACCCCGAACGACTCCTCTTCTTTTCGTTTTTCCTCGTACCTACTCCACGCCAAGAGCATCAGTTCCCCTTCTTTTCTTTTTTTTCTTTTTTTCTTTTTTTTTTCGCTTTACCCGGTGCGTGTGCATCGCTCGACTTTCACATATACATGTCATACACTCCTTTGACTCTTTCAACGTCACTCGAGTACACGCGTGTACGTAATATTACGTCTATGTTGCCTCGGTCGAGGTTTTCTTCCCCCTCCCTGGTGTCGCGGCTCGTTTGCTCTTCCTCCTCCTCGTCCACTTCATCATCATCATCATCATCATTCTTCTTTTCGACAAGACTGCACGTACTTACATGCCTTGTATACTTACCTCTCGTGCATCAAGTCTTCTTGTTGGCATTTCCAAAGTAAATCGAGTTTACTACCCCCCTGCATGGGCTCCCCTTTGATCTAGGGGTTTGGGGGGGACTCACTGCGCTTTATTGGATTCAAAGCCGATGTCTTATGGGTACGTGTATGTATATATCGGACAGCGTTGCCGAGGGGAGAGAAGTAAGAGTTTGGTTATTGAAATGAAAAAGGAAGAAATTCGTGAGTTGTCTTTGGTGTGTGGGATCGGGTCACGCGTTTTCCACGTTGAAAGCTGTAACTGGTACGACAACAAGGAGGACGGAGTCGCCGTTAATCGTGGCATTAACGCGTCCCAAGGCCGTCCGTCAATTTTGCGCTGCTCTCGTTGATGGGATCCCACCGGTTATCGGTCACTCGATATTTCTGCAAAAGTATACACATACATAAACATAAAAAAAAAAAAAAAAAAAAAGAGAGAGAGAGTCGAATATAAGTAGGTGTATATTATGCATGTGGTACAAATAAAACCGTGATTGTAATTGAGGTAGCAGGTCACGGGGGCGTCGCGCGTCAAACTCCAAAAATAAATCGTCCACTTGATCCACCTCCATCCATTCACTCTTGTGTGAGTTGTTGTATCTACCAATGGAAATAAAGTACAACGATTGCACAACTCGCCGTTAAACTGCAGATGGTGCATGGGTGGCAATGACATATGGCGCACGCGAATAAGGTTCATGCTGCTGATACCGGCCGTCATACTGCCCGTGGCGATAATCATCATCGCCCTCTCCAAGTCCACTGTCATCGGGAAATTGTCGATGCGCTCGAGCCACGCGCAGTCGCTGGACCCTTCCGCCGCTCCCGTCGCCGTTGAGGATCATAACACCGCGAGCCCCGTGACGGCCGATCTCCCACCCGTTTCGATCGTACCTCGAGATCGGCAGCAACGGCGCAAGAGAGACATGAGCCAGGTACATCGTATGGTGGCCCGATTTTTCAAAACGATAAAAAAAAAAAAAAAAAGAATTTCCTTCGCCTCCTCCGTGTCTCCCCGTTTTTTGCACCAAAGTAACTTTGAGAAACCGATCTCTCCTGTACTCAATAATAGTTTTTATATTTATTTTTGTTGATGATGATTTTTGAAACCAACCAAAACAACAACTCGGGAGAGCAGAGAGGATACGAGGAGTCGCCGGTAGCACCGTCACAAGGAGGAGAAGGGAAAAGAGAAGTTGGGACCTCCAATGGCGAAAAGATCGGCAAATCGGCGTCAAACGCCCTCAACGGCGAGGCCCACGAAGCAGCATCCAACGCCGTCATGCAGCAGGAACTGCAAGTAAATTTCTCACGGTAGAACATATATGCCTCTTTGCCCCGTGCGCCCATACACCTACATTGTATATTAACCAAATGCCCCCGTACTTAGCCGTTCATATAACGGCGCAGGGGAGTTCGTTTGCGTAAACTTTGTCGACCGCCGTCCGCCTTTTGGGTACGACATGGGCTTCTCCTCGTAAAACATGTTTGCCAGTCTACCCGTAAATTGTTCCTCTTGCTTGCTTTCGGTTTGTTTAATGCGCAAGTGGCGATCCATCCGTGCACAGGGGGGGAGGGGGGGGGTGGATGTGATGAAAAACCTGAATGGAGAAGAGAAGCCTTTGGCTGCTCGGGCTCTGGGCCGCCGACAGAGGCTCACGGGTGGATTTTTTCAAAATGTTTTAATGGAGTTGGGCGGAAAATTTTGCTCCACATCCGGGTATATAGAAGGTACACGTATGCAAATGGGCTCGGAACCGGAGCAGCTTCTTCTTTTTTTTTTTTTTTTTTTTTTTTCCTTCGTGGAGTGTACGTGCATTTTAACTCTCGAGCGAGACCAGCCAAGGGAGTCTTCTCTTCTCGCAGCACAAACATATATATATATATAGGACACACCAAGAGGCAACATTCACTCGGGAAAAATCGTCCCAGTGAAATCGTTCCATTTTCGCTTCTTTCGCGTTGTAAGTATATATTCTCGCGACGAGCAAGGGAAAGAGAGAGAGAGAGAGAGAGTGAAACGTCTCGGGGAAGGAGAAAAAGGTCCGATTGATGGGACAGATAGGAGGGAGCGCAGGAACGAAGCGAGAGGTTGAAAGACCGCGACGTAAATGAGGAGAGAGAGAGAGAGAGGCACAAAGGAGGGTGTCCGCGACTTGTTGAGCTTGCCGATTAGCGGGTGAGAGATTTGGCGCGATAGCGACGGACCATGAGCACTCTGCATAAATATACGTACACCTCGGTCTATTTGTGCGAGGCGCGCTCGGTCGAATGGGCAGGTGGACGTACACAGTGCAAATAAACCTCGAGACGAGAATATTTACGCATCTTTAACTTTTAAAAAAAGCGAGGACTTGGCCACCTAAGCGAAAAGCTATGGGGCGTGATAAACGTGATATATCGATGTACCATTGTTTCCCCTCCCCCCCCCCTTTGTAAAATTAAACAAACAGTAAAAGTACTCTGTCACCAATGAACTCGCGTGAGAAAATTCCTGCGAGTTGGCGCCATCGTTGGCCAACGCATAGGTATCTCCTCTTTAAGACGTAATGGGTATTATATACTCGTGCACGTGCACGTATGTACAATGTGCAGAAAAGTCATCGGCGAAAGCTCGCGTGAACGGACGGACTGTGAAATTGCAGGTCCCCGAGGGCAAAGACGGAGCGGGCCCGGGGCGAAGCAAATAGACGAGGGCAGATCGAAGGGGCGAGCGGCCGAGGGCGCGGCGACGGGAACTGCGACGAGGAGGAGGAGGAGGACGAGGATAGTGATTCTCCAGCCGTAGACGACGACGATGATAGTGTCGACGGGGAAGAAGAAGAGGAGGAGGAGGAGGATGAGGAAGAGGAGGATGGTAGCAAAGAGCCGGAAAGGGGGAGGAAGCTGCCGAGAGCCTTTGACGAGGGCCGAGTGGGTCAGGTGGGTGCCGTTTATTACTCCCTACGTATATATGTATAACCCACACGTGCGTTACGATAAAAATTCCCCGACATATATACATTGCCAGTCGTGCCCATTGTTCCCCCTCGAGAGCTTTTATTTTATCTCCCTTTCTTCGACCCTTTGACCGTTTTTTACGTACGTGCTTTTTACTTTCGAGGCTTCGTTCTTCTGTTGTGCCGTTATGCATTATTGCCTTACCATTTTTTTTTTTTTTTTTTNTTTTTTTTTTTTTTTTTTTTTTTTTTTTTTTTTTTTTTGTTGAACATTGGAAAAAAAAAGCCTTTTTTGGTTGTTTTCTATTTGTTTTGATTAAAAATACGTTTATACATCGTGGAGATACTCACTCGATCGAGCAGTCTTACAGCGTCGACGAGGAAGATTCTTTGAATTTCTGGGAAGGCAATTGGAACGAGGACTACATCCGAAAATCCCAAGGTGGGTTGATTACAATCGATGGCTACCAAGAAAAATAGGGAAAGAAAAATGAATACCCCCTCGCTGTTTTTCAAGCCAAGGTGATGTTGCGCTACATGGACAGGACGGCGGACCCCTGCCGGGACTTTTACCAGTTCGCCTGCGGCAATTGGCAAAAGTACAACTCCATACCCGACGACAAGGCCGGCTTCGACACGTTCGAGACTCTGCGCGAGTCCCTCGACCTGGTGCTCAAACGACTCCTCGAGGAAACGTCCCCGGTCGGCACCGACGACGCCGTCGTCAAAGCCAAGAACCTCTTCCGCAGCTGCATGAACTACGGTGAGCGGCCCTTTCATTTTTACACCCGTGTGCAATATATTTATGCGTATATTCACCTGTACACGTGCATAAATGTACCCTTGGGGCCTAGAGATATTGGAGAAGCGGGGCGAGCGCCCGCTGCTCGAGTTGCTGGACGAGCTCGGCGGGTGGCCGATTTTGCGTCCCGATTGGGACTCCGAGAGCTTCGACTGGATCACTTTGGCGGCTCAGCTGAGGCTCTACAACAACGACATACTCATAGCCGAGTGGGTCGGGCCTGACACAAAGAACAGCGACGAGTACATAATACAGGTGACTTTTTGTCTTAATTGTTCATATGCGTCATTTCCGTTGTTTAATTCAACCTCCCGATCGTGCCCTTTTCAGTTTGACCAAACTACCCTGGGCCTACCCACAAAGGACTACTATCTCCAGCCGGCCAACGCGATTTATCTGATGGCGTACAAAAATTACCTCATCAGCGTGGCCAGTTTGCTGGGCGCGACGCACAGGAACGCCCGAGTCCAGGCCGAGGAGCTCGTGCAATTTGAAACACACCTTGCCAACGTAAGGGATGATCCATACTGTAAAAATGCACGAAACAAAGGTAGGAATATGTCGGTAAATACACGTGTGCTTTTACGATTGATTCGCATCGTCAGATAACGATATCGTTGAACGAGAGGCGCAACGCGACCGAGCTGTATAAGCGCATGACGTTGGAGAGGCTCCACACGGCGATACCGCAGATCGATTGGCACCGCTACCTTTCGATAGTGCTCGCGCGGCCCGTCAACTACTCCGAGCCAGTCGTCCTCTTCACCATGAAGTACCTCCAAGATCTGGTCGAGCTGATTGCCCGCACCCCGCCTAAGTGAACATTTGAACAATATATATATTATATACCCTGTCGATTGTTATTCATCAATTTATTATACCTGTGATGATGATGGGGTTCAGAACAGTGGCCAACTACCTCCTGTGGCGTTTCGTCCAGCACAGGGTCAACAATCTGGACGACCGGTTCCAAGAGGCCAAGCAGACTTTCTACTACATACTGTTGGGCCGGAAAAAGTCACCGTCGCGCTGGAAAAACTGCGTGGCTCAGGTCAACGCCAACCTGGGCATGGCCTTGGGCTCGATTTTCGTGAGAAAGTACTTTGACGAGAAGAGTAAAAACGACGTAACTTTGTTTATACCCCCCCATTCCGTCCGTTCCAACGTCTAAATGAAAGAGAGAAAGAACATTACAATTGTCATCGCCGTGGTCCATTATTTATGTACGTATACCTCTACGTGTTGTTTTCCAGACGCTGGCCATGACCCACGAGATCCAGCGGGCGTTTCGCGAGCTGCTGAATCAGTCGAACTGGCTGGACTCGGTGACGAAGGAGGTAGCCGGTGAAAAGGTCCAAGCGATGAATCTGCGCATCGGCTATCCCGACTTTATCTTGCGTTCCCGGGAGCTCGACCATCGTTACAAAGACGTGAGCCACAAACGATCTATGATTATTGCCATTAGCCGGTAACAATTGTGCTCAGCTTATATTGTGGGGTCAACAGGTGGAGATCAATCCAGACAGGTATTTCGAAAACACCCTGAACATACTGCGCCACCTGACCAGAATCGAGCAGGACAGACTGGGCAAGCCCGTCAACAAGACCCAGTGGAACGCCGCGCCCGCCATCGTCAATGCCTACTACAACCGCAACGAGAACCAAATCGGTGATCAGAACTACTGTGTATCAGTGCTAGCTTGCGCGCTGTACAAAAAATATCAATGCAACTTTGACAAGACTGATTGACGATGGTGCTTTTGACGTTGTCGTTTACAGTGTTCCCGGCGGGTATATTGCAGCCGCCCTTTTACCACAGGTACTTTCCCCGGTGTCTGAATTACGGGGGCATAGGTGTGGTCATTGGCCACGAGATAACCCACGGCTTCGACGACAAGGGCCGGCTCTTTGACAAGTACGGCAATCTGCATCGTTGGTGGAGCAAAGACATCATCGACGAGTTCAATCAGAGGGCCACCTGTCTCATCGGTCGGTGACAATCGCGTTTGAGCCTTGGAAGCGTCAATGCCCATCTGGATTTTCATTTCAGATCAGTACAGTCGGTACGTCGTCGACGAGGTCGCGATGCCGATCAATGGCGTGACCACGCAGGGGGAGAACATCGCCGACAACGGTGCGATCAAGCAGGCTTTCAAGGTGAATTATACCTTATACATAGGGGTTTTTTTTTTTTTTTTTTTTTTTTTAATGAAAAAGGAGGATTTGAACGTGTACTTTTGACAAAAACACAGGCGTACGAAAAGTGGATGTCGGAAAACGAGGACGCGAACGAGAGTCTTCCCGGGATGGAGGCGACGGGGCGCCAGTTGTTTTTCCTCAACTTTGCCCAGGTCTGGTGTGGCTCGATGCGGCCCGAGGCGATGCGAAACAAGCTCAAAACGGCCGTCCACTCGCCAGGCCGGTACCGCGTCATCGGCACGCTCTCCAACTTCGAAGACTTTGCCAAAGTGTTCAACTGTCCGCTGGGCAGTCCCATGAACCCCGTGAAAAAGTGCCTCGTCTGGTGAGGATACAGAGATACTTCGCCCGTGTAAGTGCGTATATGTATAGGTGAACTGATTCACAACAGAGACAACAAAAGACTACTCATACAGTACTGATGGATTAAATAATGCATCTACGCGCAGTGAGATCGTCAAGACGACAACTAACTGATATGTTAATCAATCATGATCGTTGTATTGTTGTCCATTATCTTCATTTTATTTTTTATTATTAAGGCCTTATCTATTATTATTATTATAATTATTACAAAGGTCACTATTACAAGTGCATGAGTATCGAACGATCATATATTAGAGTAATCCATACGTTAGGCAGTCTTTTCCTTGGTGCCGATTAGTTTTTTAAGACGAGTCAGCAGAGTGTGTAAATAGCCTTTTTTCTCGATGCGTTTGAGAACGAGTTTTTTCGTTGAAATATTATGAAGTGGACCAAATGCCAACGCAACGGCGGTGCATGCCAGACATATGACGTTGTAGGGCATACTGAAGTCCGGCGTTGGTAGGCTTATCAGCAGAGGCTCGGTGCGCAGTTGCACCAGGTAACCGGACCTCGTTGCGTTGAATCTGAAAAATGATGAGACCGTTGCGGTTAACTAGTTCAACTTGTTTTTTTTTTTTCCCTCGTCCCAAGAGACGGACTTTGAACTGCTGTTCTGATGGTGTTGTTGAGGATAAGTTATAAAATAAGGTCATGTGCATACTAATGATAAACCTAAGCTTTCGTTTTTTTTGTTTTTTTTGTTTTTTGTTTCTTTAATTCATGCAAGTATATCGAGCGTAAGTGTATGTTAGTTTAATCATACAGAAAGTATAGATTGTTATTCTTGTTTGTAAACAATAGTCTTTAAAATATTTACTTGATGCATGTCAAAAAAAAAAAAAAAAACATGGTTACTTTAAATAAATATATTTTTAAACAAAAAGTTACTCTACAATTGTTACAGTTTTATAAACAACTAAATGATGTTGACGGAATTAACAAGATACTTACATGGACGTTATTGTACTGCCATCCTGTGGCAACGCCGTGTAATTCCTAGCCACGGGAAGCATCGCCGTGACTATTGCGGGGCCCATGTAAAAACCGTGATTCGCGTCAGGTGGATACTCCTGCCATTTCAAAAACATGTAGTCCACGTCGACCGAGAACTTTGTCACCGAACGGGGTGGCAAACGTAGTACGATTTCCAAGTAATAAGGCTGCTTTCTTTCCTTTCCAGGAATATATCTTTGGGCCACTGAATGAGTGCGATATTAAATTGAGTAAAATGGGAGCACAAACAACGATTATGCAATGTAAAAGTGTCACTGCTTACTTGGTTTTATGTCTACATTATGGCGAGTTATTTTCATGGAATGTAAATAAAGTGGAAGATACCATGGCACGTTTTCCAAAAATACAACGTCCAATGGCTGCCAGTGATTATTGTACAACTTTGTCACGAGGGAACCCTTTTCTTGGCCATATCCTAAATTGGAAAAAAAAAAAAAGTTCGAACTGCAAATACGTGATTTTTGTAATTCAATTACAACTTACCGTTGATATACCTATGGGCGTATAAAATGGTTGGATAATTGACACCAGAAGTTTTTGTTGGTTTATGAACCGCGGCTATACTAAATGCTCCATCAGCTGAGTAAGTTCTCACATTATAAATTGCATACTTATCTTCCTGTCCCCCTCTTAAACTAACAGTGGTCATATTTGGTGGAGGTGACAATTCAAAGTGGCGAGCACTGCCATTACTGCTAATATCAACGTATATGTTACTTAATGTGGCCAGTGGACAAGCACCTCTCAAACCTATGCCAAATAATTTTCTAGTTGACCAGTTCTATGAAAAGGTACAATAGTAAAATACTTGCAATCACAACTAGATATAAAAATAAAAATTGTTATCTCCTATTCAACATAAGACCTACTTCTTGAGGATATTCCACGGTATCATAGACTAAAGACACAGTTTGTTTGAGCTCCATGGATAAATATGTACACTCTGGATTTCTGCATACAGACCTAAAGTGAATGCCTATAGAATGGTAATTTGTATTGTGAATGAATGCTGAATTGAGTAACGTGGCAAGTCCTTTCTGAAAGATATAATAAATGAATTTTGTGTGTGGGATAAATAAAATTCACTACAAAAAAAGATGAGGCCTCACTCTTGAATCGCATGGTAAAAGTTTCTTAAACGGAGTTAAATTCTCTGTACAAGCAGTCTCTCTTGGTAATGATGAATACCTTAAGTGACTAGAATTATGTGAGTGTGCAACTTGAGTCGCTCCGGTATGTCTGAATGAGAATTCCGGTGAAAGACTATTTGAGGAATCAACAAAGTTTAGGGAAGCACAAAGCAGTCCTGACAATGCATTTGTCAGACCCTTCCACTCCCTGTCAACACTAAAAAGAGAAGTTTCCAAAGATACATTGTATTTTTCATAATTAAATGACTGCCGAAAGTCCAAACATTTTTCAAAGTATTTGTTACTTACTCTGTGACCTGCCTGTTAAACCAAGCAGATATTTCAGCGCCAGGACCAGCGCTGTAAAATGGATATCCATATTTTTCGTACTTCCAAAGGCCTTCCGTTAAACTGACATGCAATTCGTCTACATGGTGCCTGCCAATGATTTCTGCAAGTCCTCTAGGAAAGAGGTGGGTGTGTTTTACTAAAAAAAATAAATGTTGCCGAATGGATTAATAAATGAACAATTACGTTACCGCACGGTAAATCAGAACATATATCTGATAAAAAAAATAACTTTCACTCACATGTATTTACATTATTTTGTGCTTCCCAAAGAGTTGTAAATTGAAAATAAGCGTAAACATAACCATTTGATAAAGGCTTTAGCATCAATTCCTCATCAAACGAGTCGGTTTGTGCAGGCGATAAGGAAAATAGATTTAAAAAAGCAAAAAGCATAAACAGTTTCTGTAACCAATTCATTTTTTACACAACCTACTACCTGTACATTTGATGTTTGTAAGGCGATACCTGAAGTCAAATACAACGAAATGTTTTAAGTGCTTGTTACTATCATTTGTAAAATAACTGCTTACCACTTAAGTCATAACGATTTACTAAAGCTAATTCTCATATTTTATTTACAATATAAACAAACATTAGATTGAGTATCCAATTCAGAAATTTGAGAGGGTTGACGAGGTATACAATGCATGTATTCCGCAAATGCTGCCAGCACTGCCAGCAGTTTAAGTTACGAAGCTCGCGTGGTGGCGTCGCATTGACTGTCGGTGGGTTCCCGCATGTCAACAAACTCCGAAATACTTATCGGTGGATGACAGTCGAAACAGTAGCAAAAGATATCACATATCATGATATCAAAGTTTGTTGTCATGCGCGAAACCCACCGACAGTTTACGTAGCGCCACCACGACCTACGTAACTTAAAACTGCTACTGCTGGCAGCATTTGCGAAATACCGACAGTCTCTGATTTTATCATTCTGGTAAAGAGAGCATGGTGTAAGATATACGTGCAGTTAAGTGTAGTAATTATATAGTAATCGCTACTAAGTAGTGCCATATGGTCGATTTTATTAAACCATATAAGTAAAATATCTATACTTTTGGAGGTCGATTTTCGGGTAAAAAATAAACTGTATACTTGCCGCAAACAGCACAAACCACGTCAACTTTTTATTATCTATCTATAAAATTAGTTGCGGCTGGTTTATAACTGATAAAGTGACTTTACTGTAAGTAGCGATAATTATTTTGGATCAGCGCCATCTAGCGGTCTTTATTTTTTGGCCAAAAGTGGCTCCTAAAATTCTCAATCAGAGCATTCTGGATTAGAGCCATTTAGTCAATTATAAACCAGCCGCATTTCATGACAAAGCTATAAAATAAAAAAATAACGATATATGTGTTTTTGGCGGCAAGTTAACAATCTATTTTCTACCAAAAATTTGATCTCCTATGTATTTATACTTTCGAAGATAAATTTTCGAGTAAAAGACAGATTGTTAACTTGCCGCCAAAAACACACGTATGATTATTTTTTTATTTTATACCTACAAGATGAGTTGCGGCTGGTTTATAATAGACTAAGTGGCTCCAAGCGCTAAAGCTCTCCTTCAGAATTCTAGGGCCACTTTTTAGTTCAGAAATTCGCAACGCTAGATAGCACTGATCAAAAAAAAATTATTACTATACAATTATTACAGTAGTGTGATTTAATCAATTATAAACAGCCGCCACTACTGTTATAGATAAACGCGTGTTTTGGGGCATAGTTCGGAGGAGCTCCGAGCTGTTTTAAACGAACCTATTGGGTTAGCTAATTGTCATTAAGTCAAGGTAGTTTTTCAGACCAGAGCCAGATGTCAAATCGCTAGATGAGAGCCAGCGTTTGTCACACGACCTCACGTTAAATTAAATAAGAATATAATATAAACGTATCATAAGATTTGGTTGAAATAATTACGCCACACGTTGTTCTGTAAAGCATATTAATATCTCTACAAATTGTTACGATATATCTTTTTGTACAAAACAAGACTTTTGTTATCAAATTTGGTCAGTATTGCAACAGTTGTACTTTAATTATTTCTTAATTATATAATAAGCACAGTTAAACAAAAACCAAAGTCATATCACAATAAAATTTCATTCACTGGGAAAAAAAAATATTCGATCTGTAAGTATGTTATAATACATTTTCAAGTGTTTTCAAAGTCCCACTGACAGCTTTCCAGCTCTAAATTAACAAACTCCGTGGATAATGCTGCAGCTTGATCTTCTGTAAACATAAAACAAAATTTATCAAGCTATCATTACAAATTACCAACTTTAATTGCCTCATACTTACCGAAATTTTCTACAAAACGTTGATGTAGCGGTTTTATTGGCTTCAAAATATCAAGTAATGTAGTATCACTTTTTCTGCACTGTTTAAAAAATGAATGTGCCAGCAGTCGCGCAATACTGGGTCTGTCACTTGGGTCACACTGGAGGCAGAATTCAGCTAACTCATGAAACGATTCGGAAAACTTGCGAGTAGACATTATTTCAGCCTTTTTCAATGAATTTTCGTTGCTTGCCTCTCCTCCAGCTGCAATGTAAAATTAGGTTGAAGTTGAAACTCCACAAAAAATATCCAAGATTTTCGAAAAAATGATCATAGGTTACAGTACTTACATTGTTCAATATCCATGACATCCACTGGAAATGTAGACCTATCCATAATCTGAGGAATGCAGCGTCTAACTTTTTCAGTCAACATCAAAGTGTCTGGTAACCCAGCAAAAGGTATAGTACCATTGGCCAACTCACAAATGGTGATTCCAAGACTGTAAATATCTGATTTTTCATTGTAGCCACGAAGATCCTGTTGCAATATTTCAGGACTAAGCCACTTGAGATTGTTGGTACTTGATTTAGGAAAAGCATAAAGAGTTCGTTGCCACTTGCCACTTTTCATTACTTTACATGAATACCTCATACCACATATGCAAACTTGTCCATGCTCGGAAATTAGAATATGACTCGCCTTCAGGGCTCTAGAAAGATTTTCTTATTAAATACACACATTAATTAATTATAATATTGTTCTAGCAAATACCTGTGTATGATCCCTTTCTTATGGATATAATCAAGACCATGCAAAACATCCTTAATAATAAATGCAACAGCAATCTCTGGAAAACCTTCTTGAAAGTGTTCCCTGATTAAATCACTGCACGAGCCATAGCTCATGAGAGGGGATGTAACGTAAACATCATGACCAGATACAAAAGCACTGAGGTAAGGAAGCACATTTGGATGTTGCAATTGTCTAGTAGTTACTATCTCTTGCTCAACAAGATTGAAGTCTTCGGGCTCTTTGTCATCAATAAAGTACTTTTTTATTACAACAAATGTATTGGTTGTCTTATGCAAAACCAAATTTATATTGCCGGATCCACTACTAGGTACACCTAAAATTCAAAAACCAATTTAAAATATACAATATGGTGATATTGTACACCTCACCCTAGGCTAGTTTTACCTATTGCCATGCCACTGCTGTAATTGTTTAAATTAATATCATACATTTTGACAATAACATCTAGCTTTTAACTAAATAATCAGAATGACGGTTGTAATAATTCAGAACTAATACTTCGCCATGCATTTTGCTAAAATACTCCTAGTAACTTTTTCCTCAACTAGCAATATTCAGCCATTATACATTGTACTGATTTCACAGCTTTAAAACTTTTTTTGTTCTTCTTTAAATTATTTTTTAATTGGAAACCGTTTAAATAATCACGTCAATCACTCACAAAGCGATTTTTTATTTTTTTTTTTCGTCAATGACATTGACTCAATGTGCGTAAAAGCCATTTGATCAGAATCAACGCCATCTAGCGTTGCTGATTGTGATCAATAGCTTTTAAAAATGCTTTTACGCGCATTGATTTAAAAAAAAGTGAAAAATCGCGTTGTGAGATTGTTTAAACGTTTTCCAATAAAAAAATAATTTAATAAAGAACAAAAAAGTTTGAAAGCTGTAAAATCAGTACAATATATTACGTCTGAATATTAATGGCTAGTTAAGGGAAAAGTTGCTCGGAGTATCATTTAGTTAAAAGCTTGATATGATTGTCAAAATGTGTGACATTGATTTGAATGATTGCAACAGTGACCAGGCCGATTTAATGATACTAGATATCGGAATAATTTCACTTGCTCTTGCTCTAGAGCAACGACCTTTTTTTCCGCAAAACGAGAGCCAAAATAAAAAAAAACGCGCAAGTCTCGAACCTCGGCTTCGCACGAGATTTAAAGGTGTCAAAATGCGCTTGTGATCTGACAGGGTTGTTTTTTTCTTTTTTTTCCCCGTAGGTATGTACTACCTAATTATAAAATAAAAAAAAAAAATATTGGAAAAGTAGGTCATGAATTCAACTGTTATCTGTGATAAAAGTGACTGTCTTGCCTTAGATTCAGTAAAAAAAAAAATTTTTTTTTGTATAAATATATACCCTCTTGTTACTTACCATTTATTATTTCTACACTAGGATGCACCTCGTTCTAGGAGAGAAAGACAGGAAAACAAAAAGTGCAGGTAGAAGCCGCAAGCTAAATAGAGAAGATGAGGGAGTTGATCAGGATGCTGACAGAACTGTAGGGCTACGAGCATAAGCTTACAGGAACAAGATTTTAAAAGGCAGGTGATAGAATAAATGAAATATAGAGAAACGAGTCAGGAATCAGGATCAGGTCATCCTGAAGTGCCCAAAGAGGAGTATTTGTAAAGAATGACATGACAGGGTACAGGAGAGCAATTCAGAAAAGGGCAGTTCAGTAGGCTAGAGAACTGCGTGAAAAAAGATATTGTACAAAATGTAAATATGTATATAAGATCCTATGTAATTATGAATGCATGTAAAACGAAAATAAAAAGAGAAACAATTTTTTTAGAGACCATTAAGTATTATTATTAGAGTGTACAACGGTTCAAATATTTAACTGTAATGCGCAATTTTAAAAGTAAAAAGTTTGAATTTCTCATTCGAAACTTACGCATAATTTAGTGAATAATTATATCAATTGTAGTGACAGAACCTCTGTAAAACCCTACAATGGGTAAACAGTACATAAACTAACTACCTTATAAAGGATCCAATACTTTAACAGTCTTATTTGCTCTTAAACTGATTTTGTGTATATAATTTTTAAAGAATGTAATCACAACTCTCTACTTTGTCATGTAACATCAACATTTTGTAAAGTACAATTTCATCGTCTACATAATTCGTTATAATTTAATTATTTTAATAACAACATATATACTTAAATATCACACACAGCGTAAATAAAGCGTTCAAAGTTAAAGTTACATCTAGTTGTATAAGTTAAAAGGTTTGTGCTTCAGAGGAAGCATGAAAAAAGCTAAAAAAATTAGTAAATTTGTACAAGTGACTACTTTACAATTAAAACAAAAAAAAACAATATGTGCACACCACAAAAACAATTGCACATTCTTTATGACACAAGAAAAATATAAAATTGAAGCGTTATAAAAGTTGTGGTGCTTTTAGAATAATTATTCTAAATATATTTAAAGCTTTGTCTATAATTCCTCGCTCGAATTACAAATTTAGCGTCGATAGTAACTGATGACCGGTTTTTATCATCAAAGACTTGACGTGTTCCGCGTGCACTATCTGATCACAAATTTCGGTATAACGTTGAAAGGCTTTATCATTTTCAGGAAATAAAGAGTATAAAGACTTTAAAGGCAAAACTTCGGCTGCATATTTCAAAGTTTCTGAAAGGTAATTTTGTTCATTTATTTTACGATTTAAAATAGAAAAAGATTAATAATTAAAATAATATAAGTACATACCGATCATTGTCTGCTCAAAGAAGAGACGAGCTTCTTGGCTAGAGTTATTTTTCGCAATTTTTTCTTGCAACAAATCAGCTAGTACCTTCCATTCTATTTCATTGGTGTACATTTCCTGTAAGAAACATCTAAATGAACAAACTATCATGTACTTAAATAGATTATTTTTTTACTTAATTGTTGAATAAAGCCTTTCATACCTTGGCATACGGTAAAACAGCCTGAGGGCATTTGTCAACGAGCATTTGCGTAACGAGCTTCGTATCCCTGATACATAAAGTGCGCAAAGCCAAGCTACCTTCGACCATTTCGACTTCAAGAAATTTCTCGACCTCGTGTAAACACTCGACTGGCAAAAAAACGTTTGCTAGCAAAGCTTGAAGCTTTAAATACTCGAGTCTCACGCTTCTGTCGTTTTCCTCATTGTTAGCTCTCGAAAATTCATCGAAATCTTCGGCACAGAGAATCTTGTGGTAATCCTTAGCGCAGGGCGGCATCTTGTCCAAGTAGTTTGGCCGCTGACTCTCGAACAGGTAAGAATCGCCGTCTTTCCATTCTTTGGCTTTCAAAGGCTCGTTCGACTTGTATATTTTCGACTGCATCAATTTGCCCAAGTAAGATCGCACGAGAATCTTGAGAGCTTCAATTACCGCATAATCGTGACTGATTTCGTCTTTATCTTGCAGCTTAGCGAAGTAGCTGTGTAGGTACGTCTCCAAAAATTGCTGCAACGCCGCGGCTGCATCATGACCATCACGACCGACTCGCGATGGCAAATATTCTAAGAAAACCTGTAAAATTGATCATTACATTTTTTTTTCATTCATTTATTCATTTGCGTATTTATATTGTAGAATTATGAAAAAAAAAAAAAAAAAAAATCACTTGGGAAAAAGAATAAAAAAAAGTTAGTCCCTAATTATTAAAATAAGTACAGCAAAGGCTTGCCTGCATGACTTGATATAGCTTGAGAACGTCGTCCTCGATCAACTGGGTAAGAATTTGCGCTAAAACCCAGCTTTTGCGACAAATCATCGTTGCCGAGAAATACGAGAACGACAAATTGTCCTGATCGTCGTAGTCAAAGGCACCTTCGTCGAAGAGCAGATGAGGATAGCCGAGCACGGTGCGCAAGAGGAACTTGTCCGACACTTGGTCGAGCGAGGTTTTAGCGAGGGTGTGCTTCTCAGCTTGAAGGTAAAGTAGAGCGAGGGCCAGACGTGAACAGTCGTCCTCGTTTTGCGAGGCCAGGAGTTTTATCAATTTATCGGTCGCATATTCCCTGAAAACGACGCTTCCCAGGATTATTTTCAGCAAATCTTCTCGGCTCTCGGTGCTGATGATGTCCACGATGTTCTGGCATTGAAACAGAGAGTCGGCGTCTGGGCCACTTTTGATGTTCATCAGAACGTCAGTGAGATAGATGACGAGCCCCGGTGCGTTGTGCGTCGATTTCCTAGTGAGCACCTCACTAGGCTTCAGTCCTGACATTTTGTAGTAAGGAATGCAGAGGTGGCGCTCTAATTCAACGTCGGACTTGACAAAGTGATCGCCCAGAAGGGCGCACGATTGGTTGTAGAGATGCTCGATCTTTGAGTGGCTCTGCGTTTCTATGGTTTCGTTGCTCTGCACGTCAGCCAAGTCCTTGGCTAAGCGTAACATCGCGTGAGCTTCCTCCAATAGATGACGATACGTCGATGGACTGGTTGTTCTGAAAAATAAGGTGTAATCATTAAAACATTGAAAAGTAATTTACACAATAATTTGCATTTGTTCCTGATGGTTACCTGTGATTTTTAGCGGCATTTATAATATCGTAGTAAATGTTTTCCGGCCTAGGTAATCTCAATGAATAAATTGTCCAGGAGTTTTCGGCTCTTGACAAGAGTACAAGGTGCTCTTTTGAACTGATCAAGTGCTGCACTCCGACAAATGATCTCAAACCAATCAGGCAGACGGGTTCAGAAACATCAGGATAAATGGTTTTTAAGTTCAGTTGTTGCGAGGTAGTCTTGGCAATGTGATGAGGTAAGCGTAAGGTATAAGATTCCAATCCAGCCTCTGTAAAAGCGTGTAGACAAGTGTATTCTAGAGCAACGTGAGTAACTGGAGCTGTGAAAGGATAAGTGGTCAAACACGTTGGATTGCTGTCGTCGTTGTCCTCAAGGTTAAAGTGATAGATGTATCCCTCCTGGGTTGTGCATATCAAGCATGTCACACCATCAAAGTACTTGTACTTTTCAGACCTGAGCATTGATTTTTTCACTCCCTGGCTGTTGTTGTTGGTTTTCATGTACAATGGCTTTAAAACGAAGCTCGTGAAATGCTCGGAATTCTTATCATTTTGAGATAATCCATTCAATCCCACAATTTTAAGCCTAAGAATGCTCTTGATTATATAATTCTCGGACCACCCGCTGTTTGGGGATGTTGTTTTTATAAAGATTTCCGTGTCGGCTGAATTCAGAATAAAGGGATTGAGAGTGTGACCTGGGCCTGCCCTTTCCAAAGAGATTGAAGGTAAATGCACAGAAAACGGCTGACTGCTTTCGTCAACGACACCTTCGTCAGTCAAGTGCTGCATTTCGGCTTTTTCATTATTAACTAATCCATCCCAATCTATGCAATTATTCTTTTTACCTTTTCTTAGTGTAAAATTGAAAAAACTACGTAAATTCGAATTTTTATCAACACTGTTCTTTTGATTTTGATTAGAAGTATTTTTTTGCTTGACCAAATTCGTCTCGTTGCTGATTTTCACGGGCAACGAGTTGTCAACAGTCTCTATGCTACAAAAATCCGAAGATATTGTCGTTTTGTCATTGGGAGAAGAGGTGGTAGAAGTCAAAGAGCTCAGATGATCGATGTCATCGTACAATGGATTGGTCAAACGGAACACGATGAACCTAGAGGCATCCATAGCAGCAACAAAGTCCTCGACAACGTCCAAGCGCAGAGGTGCAAAATGTAATCCAACGGACCAAGGCCTTGCCTCGAAATCTATGAACTTCATCTTGGACAGGTTTTGCGTTTCAACTTTGAACTCGTGCAAGATGAGAGTGTTGCCAGCCGCGACCAGCAAATTGCCAGTCGTCTGACAACAAGCTATTACCGTGGGCTTAGAGTTGAGGGGTAGTTCGATCATCTCCAAACTGTTCTGCGGCCTATTTAAACTTGGAGTAACCCTCCCAGCGATTCTCGCTCTCATGGGCTGCCTCTCTTGGCTAATCCAGTTGACATAGACCCTGACGGAACTAGTGCTCGCATTGTCCCTGCCTAGCTTAGTCTCGAGGGTAGCCACGTAATTGCCCTTGGGACAGTGGAGAATCTGCGTGACCAGATCGACAGTGGGAAAAACAGCGACGAAGGGCAGCTCGGGCGACACAAGATCCCTCACCTCGACGCAGTGGCTCGGCAAGCCGAGCAGCAAGTACTCTTCGGGCGGCTTGTTGGAGTGTTCAGCCGGACAACTGGCCACGCAGCTGGCCGTCGGCTCCTCTGTCTGAGCAACATTCTGCTCGAGGAAGTTGTGCACTGGGATGACACGCACCATCTTTGTTTTTCTTTAACTTTGGTCTCTGGCCTGGTGGTGGATTCTTACATACCTGCTAGACTAGCACACCGTAGCTGCAATTAGATGATAGGCGTGAACGAAGGGCCGGGTGCTCCATCGGGAGCTTGTGCAGTGGCAACTCGTGGAGACGCTGTCTGGAGATAATTTTGCCTGATGAGTATCATTGTACTCGCCAGGTAATATAAATGACACCCCAAGGACACACGCGCACTTGGCACACTTTCTTTGAAAGTACTTGTACAACTTTGCGTAAACTTTGATTTTTCAGTGGAAAAAAACGACAGCGAGGAGAAGGTTTGCTTGCATGTTAAACTTATTGGTTCTAAACACGCAAGAGAGCACAACAGCTCTATGCTGTCCTGCGTATATGTTTATGCAAAAAGGAGCTGCATTTAATTGTGCTCTGTAAGCTTTGTTGGCAACGCCTTCACACTTTGTTGTGGTCCCGCAGTATAGCCATAGGTATAGCCAATCATGCACACTCTATGTCCATTTGACACTTGCATGCATGCATTATATATAGATATAATATGTACAGATTAATCATCTCATCGTCTGCTACAGTACTAAACTATACAGACAAAGGTAAAATAGTAGCTGATTGGTTGCCACACTTGCCACAATTCACATTTTTTACACAATGCATACATTGACACACAGATATTCGCCATTCATGGCAAAGCATTATTGTTCCTGTCTTAAATGGCGGCAGATTGTCTGCTCTCGATTCGTTCAAAAACGTTCAAAAAATACTATAATGAAAATCAAATAGATTTTGTGGGCCGAAATATTAGTTTTGGAAATTTAGGATACCCTATACTTATATACGCAATGTATATACTCATAAGTCATATAATCGGAACTAGAAAAAAAACAATGAAACATTAATTTTCAGCCACATTTCAGCATTATAATTATAGGGACTTCCCCTCTGTACAATATTGCGCCGCGTACATACACATGTACGTGCAATGCGGCAAATCGGGGGGGTGAGGAGATAGTGTGCACGAAAGTCCTGGCACACGTACCTGGGGTAATCAACAATAATACACCCTTCAACACACTATACTCCCCCTATTATACTGCGTACTATTATTATTAGGTATCGACCCACTTCCCCCCCCCCAGTACTTAACTTTTATATTATACGTGTATATATACTTATATAATGTAGGTGTGCACGGGCAAGGAATAAGTAAAAAATAACGTGTGACCACCACCGTCATTATTATATATATACCGATCGATACCGCGCGCCGTCGCATACATGTCATATACTCGCCGTAAAAAAAAATATGTTTATGAAACGCGAGACAATGCATAAAATATAAAACATAGACGACTCTCTCGGGTTACGTATGTTTTATTATACGTTGTGCAAGTGCAGAGTTGTCGGATATAATGTACATTATATACATATATATGTATAATGTATATTAACGTAAAAAACACGCGACGCGACGCGATAAGAAAACTTCGGTGTACTTATTGTTGTTATTACAGGTTATCATGTATAATGACTACTACATGGGCACACGTATGACGTTGACATGTTTTTCAGTTCCACCTGCGATACTGACGTTCACCGGTAAATCGGTATCGGACTATCGGTATCGATTTACCACTAGGGGCAGCACTACTCAACTAGCATACATATATTTTTTTTACGTGCCCCGTGCATGTTTTATATTATTCGACTAATCAGATTACCCCCTTGGCGATCGAACCGATGATGCATGCATGGGTATACTCTCGGCAAGTTACACCCCAATTATTGACAATGTTTTCCGTTGAAAACAATTATTGTGCCTGACAAACATGCAAATTATTTATATTAATGTTTTCCATATTTAAATCCCATCGGTTTTATTTTGTATACGTACAGCATATACATATAAACCATCATGTTATCTTATTTGGAGTTTCCTTCGGTATAAAATGTAATAATGTGTCATCAATGAGTATACCATATTTATATTCTTACGTATTGAGTATGAGTAATTTTAAACCAACATAAAAAGATCCTGGAAACAAAAAGAAGGGCAATAATGATAAAAATCGTTAGATAAGGTTGCAGGAAAAAAAAAAAAAAAAAAAAAGGTTAAACCACTTGTGTTTGACTCATTGAATACCAAGTTACCTGCAGGCGCTTGCGTGTGCATCGCAGCAGCGATACAATAATGTAGGTATATGTATACATATTTCATTGTAAGTAAGTACACGACTACACGTGTGTTACAGTACACGCACATTTGCCGTGAATATCGTCCACAACGCGATAACGACAACGAAAGGCCACTCCTTTTTGAAACTCAGATGTGTATGTGCGTGTGTGATGCCAATCGCCTCGTCGCGTCGTCATTGTCGAGAAATGAAACTTTAGTTGTAATGTATGGATGTAAATGTACCAATTTTTTTTTTTTTTTTTTTTTTTTTTTTTTTTTTTTTTCCCGCCTCTGAAATTTGGCCGTTAATGCATCCTTCTTTTTCTGGCTTTTTAAATGTAAGTACATCCATCAGGTGAAAGGTGAAAAGGGGAATCGCCCAAGTGTGTGTATAACAAACGCGCTTAATCTGACCAATTAGCTCTCAAGATTCCATCAAGATACAATGTACGCCACTTGACGTCTTTGACCCAGTGAAGCTACAACCACTGGAATCGCAAATTATACGGCATGGCACATTTTTTTTTTTTTTTTTTTTTTTTTTTTTTTTTTTTTTTTTTT